GGCACGGCTAGCGAACCGAAACACAAGCTGGCACAAGTCGCCACAGGACCTTATCAGGTCCGAAGATCGGATCTACATACGGTAGTCATTGCCATTGGCGATCAGGAGGAACGCGTATCGCGAGACAGGGTGGAGTTAGCCCCAAGCCCGATGGACTATGCGCCGATAACTGGCCTACGGCAAGCGCTACAGTTCCTGGGAGAGCCGGAGCTAAACGAAGAAGGAGAGGTAATGGAGGACGAGGAACGTCCTCACACCCGTGCGCCTACGACGAGGGACCAGGATAATTTAGTTGGTCGAACGCCGACAACGGGGTTTGCGGGGTTTGGTGAGATCGCGGGGGAGGTCGGGGTGGGTGATGGGGTGGAGACGTGGGCCAATGACAAGGAGAGAGGAGAAAATGGGAGGTATTAGGCCAATGGTACGAGTACACTTGGGGCTGGGGCTTCGGACGGGAAGATAGTTGCAGATGTGGCTCGTGAAAGAGAGACATGGTTTTTGTTGGGACGGGCTCATGCATGCTCATGCAGCCCGTCAGAGCCCGTAGTTTCAGCTCGACGCCCACAACAGAAAGCGTGATCAGGAGGGGGATCAGGAGCAGTCGGCGTGCTCAGGGGCCGGATTCCTGTGTACTGTACCGTTACTGTAAGGGTACTGTACTGTTACTGTGCGAGTAAAGAGCAAGGATACTGTAATGTAAGAAAATAGTGTTGAAGCAACTGCAAAAACACAAGTGTACAAGAAATCCTAGATATCCGTGGCAACCAAGCAAACAATTTATCATAATTTATCAATGCAGGAGTGCGCTTACAAATATCACTAGTGTATTTGTAAAAATTTTTACAAATACACTAGCGGATAACAAGGTGATTACTGTAATGCGCGCGGGAAACGGGCTAAGTTTCTCTTGTGTCGGCGTTTAAATTCAGTGATTTCTTGGCAAATAGCGCATCGGAGCAGGCTTCTGTAGCTCAGTTGGTTAGAGCGCTAGCTTCACATGCTAGAGGTCTCGAGTTCGACCCTCGACAGAAGTAATTTTTTCCAATTTTTTTTGTGGGTGGGGTGCGAGATGGGAAGCGGACGGAATGGATCAGGTGGGAGTGATGCAATTTTTGGATGAGAGGTGTGACGCGGGGGGAGGCGGGCGAGCGCGTGACGGGGGCCAGGAGCCATCCGTCGGGGGCAAATCGGATCTCCCCGCGTCACGCCGCGAACCGCCGCCCGTCCCATTGGCCGCACCTTCGATTGCCCGCGCCTTCTATTGCCCATTGGCCCAACAATCCTCCGCTCCCGCCTTGCAACCCAGGCCAAATGTTGTCCATTCGATTCCGCTGATCTCGTTCTCTCTCTCTCTCCCCCCGCCTCCGTGCCTCCTCCCTCCCCCTTCCGCCGACCCTGT